ACGGACGCGTGGTCGTGGGTCACGCCATTGCACATGTCTGCTAGTAATTATAGTGACGTCATTCCCCTGTATCTTATCATCTTGCGGTGCGAGAGAATTTCTGGTCCATGAAAGCCCCGTCGCCCTTATAAAAATTCTTAAGGTTAAGAAGAATTCTGGGAGGGAGGATGCCAGATAAAATAAAGAATACAAAAAATTAAAAGCGGATCAAAATAAAAGGGAGAGTTAAAGGAGATAGGTTAACTGTTGTCTTTCGTGAATGAAGAGAATGAAGGAAGAGAAGTGGAGTGGAAAGAAATAAGTAACTATGCAGGTCCACAGCAAGAAATGGGGAAAAAATAAGGTATGATTGGTCAGAACACATGACGCCTGAAAGGCGGAATAGCGGAGCCAGAGTAGACATTCATTGCTAAGCAACGAATCGGTAAACAGTTTCCTGCGGAAATGAACCGTGTAACAATACAAAAAACTATCGTTTCTATGCAACGGCGAGGTAAACACACCTCTGTAACAATAAAGGAATTATTATGAAAAGGTGTTTTCTGTTGGGGCTTACCCGAAGATCCAAGATTAACTGAGAACTAAGTTCAGTGAGTTGTACGTGTGGAGGAGGGGTCGAATACCTCCACCGTAGCCCTGCGAGTCGTAGGAAGCGACCAAAAGGGAACCCAGTGCCTGGGGGGTATAACTGGGCCTCCCTGTTCCTGGGACATATAAATACGGGGTCCTGGCTCTCCAGGTTAGGGTAGTCTCGAATGTGAGACAATAAAATATGGTAATGAGTCCCGCGGGACTCGGACCCCAGAATGACTGCGCTGGCGAACACCAGCAGCAATTGCAAACGACAGACCCATCCTCTCGGCAGAAAGGATGTTAGGATGTTACATAAGGACTATAACTGCAAGTGTTCAGTTCGAAAATAAAATTACTGGTCGTGAGTCTCAAGGGGCTTGTCGCCAAGACGAACTGATTGGCGGTAAACCGCCAGTCGTAAAGTAACTCTGACTCTGACATCCTCCAACTTCTTTCCTCTAGTCATAACAAAGTCCACATCATAACCTTTACTTTCTTCACTTCTTATATATATATATATTAACTTTATATAAAGTTTACCCTATCATCAATGTACCTGTACGAGAAGGAAAGTTCGAAGCCAAAAAATTCTTATATAACCCAGCTCCCTTAAATGTAAAATCTCTCATAACCACCCTCCCTCCACACAACTTCTCTCTCTCTCTCTCTCTCTCTCTCTCGTGCTTCAGATGTTTATGAGAGAAAATATGAGCACAAAAACAGACAACAAACATATCTATTAATTAAAGTTATTCTGTGCATCAGAGGTCATGACATGCTGCTGTCATGTTAGCGTATCTTGGGTCATGGAACTTCTGTGCAGTAAATAATAAATTCCTGTTGCAAACAAGTACGATAATCCTTGCCCATTTTTTAAAGATTGATATGATTTGCATAAATCATTGTGAATGATCCTCATGCGCTGGTTTCGTAGTTCTCCTGACGGTGATCATGAAAAGTAATACTGTACGTTCTGACTGTACTTCCGCACATATTTACTGACTTTTGGAGCAATATAATACCTATATAATTGTGGTGTATAGACCCGTTACTAAGTGGTGACTCTGTAAACAGCGGCCATTGCTAGGTAACGCACACAACAATAGGACAACGGGGTCATGCAACACTTCTCTAAGCAACGGATTGGTAAACACGCCTTTACAACAATAGTTACTGTAGAAACAGTGTTTTATGTTCGGTCCATGCAAAGAGGGTATGAAGAAAATAACTGGGGCAAACAGTTCAGTTGGGATCTGCAAGAGGGGCTGAGAAGAGATGGTGCTAGGTAGTTGTCAGTTGAGAGTTGAGTTTTGCACGGGAAGCTGTGAAGATAGTAACTGAGCGCGTGAAGCTGAAAGAAACTCCACTGTTAGAAACCGTTGCGAGGGAACAGCTGATGAAGACATAGGCTAGAAAGAGGATTAGTTGGTTCTGTGATGATTTGTAAAGTGTGGAGATTAGCAATAACGCTGTAATTAGTCCCGAGTTGTGTGTGAGTGGTATGTTTAATGCCATACAAAATTAAATATTTTATGTCTCTGTGCAGTGAGAAGTCAGTGTTGTGATTAGTTCCGCAACTACAGGTTCATACATGAAATAAATTAAGAGGAAGGCACCTAATGTATAGAGGTACATGAGCACCAAAACACAAAGCTGTATCTAAGTACCAGTGTTCTACAGGCCGGAACACACCTCGTCGCTCTTGCCAGGCTTACCATTCGCTGGATTAAGCAAATCATATCCACTTGGTGAAACTTAACAATGGTGTGCATGAAGCAGACACGAAAAGAACTCGACCCCATAAGCGCAGAGAAATCAAAGAGCCCACTTCAGAAGAATTGGGGACGAACCACTTTTGTATTGCAGTGAGCTAAGTGCCTCAACGACCGCCCCTGTTGTCCAGTGGTCAGATTTCCTGCCTACAGATCCAGAGGTCTTGGGTTCGATTCCCGGCGATACTAGATACTCAGCCTCGTGAGGATTCGCTTAGTGGGTGGTGGAGTCCAACTGGTCCACTCGGCACGGCGGCCACTGATTGGCCTATTGTACCTACCCCAGGTGATTATGATGATGGAGAATTTTGTGGAATGAAGATTGGCAGGGGAAAGCAAAGTACTCGGAGAAAACCCGCCCCAGTTCCACTTTGTCCACCACAAATCCCACTTGACCAGGCCCGGGATCGAACCTGGGCCGCCGCGGTGGGAAGCCAGCGACTAACCACTTGAGCTATGGCTCGGCCCAGCCTCGTGAGGATAATTGACGAGCTATTTCAAGGAAATAGCGGCTCCGGTCTAGAAGACCGAGATTAACGTCCGTGGGGATCCGTTGCGCTGACCACGTGATCTCCGGCGTTTGTAACATGGCAAAGAATAAAAAAGCAAAACTATCCTGGTATTTAATTATACAATTAAGCACTAATACCATGAAGGTACTTGAAGGAGTGGAGGTATAGCTCCACCATTCTTCACCTCGGCACTAGATGGAGGTGAGTGGCGAGCTTCACACTACAGCCGCTTTACACCCCGGTACCCATCGGACAGGAAGCTGGGGGGTCTCCAGACCCGAGGTAATACACACTGTGGAGAAAAGAAAATATCTTTTCCCCTTCGAGAATCGAACCCCGATCATTCGGTCGCCCAGTCCTGTCACTACACTGATTAAGCCACGTCGGCTCCTCACCTGACCACATGAACGAATAAATGAGACAAAACTTGGAATTAGACACCTAATTTTTATGCATGTTCCATCTCATGAGTTTTGTTCGCGAGGGAGGGGGGGGATGCACCAAAAGTGTTAGGGCAAACTTAATTTTAGCTCCCAATATAAGTTTAAACCGAACTTTAATTTAATTTGTATTCAGATTTTATTTAAAATATGTCGTCGTACAAAAAATAATTGGTACATCAAGATCCACAATTTCTATTTGAGATATTCTACGATATGATAAAAATTTAACGAAATTCAATCAAATAAATAAATATACAAACATATATATATCAGCAGTACGCTGAAGATGCACATCTATCCCACCCTTTCCCCAAAATGAACTTCGCTCCCATGTGATGTACCCACTGTGCCTTGATAGCGCAGTCGGTATAGTGACTCCTTCCTGGCTGGACGGCAGAGGGTACAGAGTTCCAGTCCCGGTAAGGGCAAGATTTTTCACTTCTCCACATCGTCCAGACCGGCTCTGGGGTCCACCCTGTCTCCTATCCAATGAGTACCGCGTTCTCTTTCCCCGTGGGTAAAGCGGTCGGGGAGTGAAACTAACCACTCACCTCAAGCTAGTGCCGAGGTCAAGAATGGTGGAGTTATACTTCCACTTCTCCATACATCTTCAGGTCGTAGTGCTTAATTAAGTACAGGTGTAACTTTGCCTTTACTTAATTAATCAGCCAAATGCTGGGTCAGAGATGAATCCCCCAACTTAGAGGTCAAGAATGTGATAAGGTGCTGCCTGTTTGCACTAACGCATATCTCAAGGGATGGCGATAGGGAGGAAGACAATGATCAGAAGGGTAATTCCAAGGGTATTCTGCACCAGTGACACTTTGCCCATTGTGTATCTCACATCAATTCATCTGGGATTAAACCCGAGACTCAACGACACGAAACTAGGGCTAACGGTCTGAACTGCCAACGTTATATTTGGCCCATTCCCACCGCTGCCATATTCATAACTGTTAAAACATCCCATAAGTTACGTTTCATGCAGAATTTGTAGGTACGTATATTAAACCTAATCTATCCCCATACAAATTTTCATATGCCACGCCTACATCTTGCTTGCCACCATGACACAAAAGTAGATATTCCATTCACCATATTTTCATCTTACATTCTACAAAACATAAAAAGTTCCTGTAACAAAATTACATATTTTCGAAGACATATTACCACATAACATTTCAGGGTACTACGTTAATAGGCTGATTTTTGAGGTAGTGACGCTCAAGCAGTTTCTAATGGTCCCCGTGTTGTTGTTGTTGTTGTTCTTATTATTATTATTATTATTAAAATGAAACTACAAATTGGGTTTTACCCAGTGGCAGTGATACTACAACACGACATAACATACAAATAACACAATACACTTAAACAAACCACAGCACACAAAACTACACAAGCAATAAAGGATACACTACACAAAATGAATACAATGAAAATGCGATTACAACAAATACAGTTACAGCTACAATTAAATAAATTAATATTAATGAAAAATAAGTATTATTTTTCATGGTTCAGAATTGTAAGGCTATACATCTAAGGATATCTCTAGTGGAATAATATTTATACAAACTTTCATTAATATATTTCACACGAACACAAATACATAATTATAAATAATGAAAGTATATTCAAATTTGTACGTCTTTTACTTTTGAATCAAAGATGTCCACATTTTACACGCTTAATTTACATACCCTGCTCCCTCCGGAAGCCTCCTCTGTGATACCGTCTGTACATTCTCCTCATGGCTCGAGAAAAATGTTGCAGTTCACAGTGATCTGCTTGAAACTTCAGTCGGTTCTGGATCACAAACGACACACATGGACACCCACTTCGCAGTGTCCTTCTACATGTGGCTCCAGCAAAGTGCGTGGTGTGCAGCATGCTGCAGGTAGCACGCACGCTTTGTCCCCCACCCCTCCGGCCACCATCCAGACGCTCCTGATCGTGGAAAACTCTTCAAAGATACTCTGTGATAAATATAGATCAAATTTTCACACTGCCTGGCAAAGTGTATTGAGAGTCCGCTGCGACAAGCCAAGCCCCAGAGGTCGACTGGATTCAGGCCTCTCGAATGCTAGGATAATATAGATTATAAAAGGATTCTGACGAAGGTGCGTAACATTCAGAATTATTGGGCTTTTGGACTTTGTCCGTCGTCTGGCATTCTAAACGAAAACATGAACACAGTGTTTCACAAATTGGATCTTGGATCCAGTTTCCGAAATGTTGTGTTCTTTCTTGTTTTTTAGAATACTTGGATCTGCGCTCTCTTAGAATACCTGGAACCAGTTTCCGAATCATTGTGTTATTTTGTGTTTGTTTAGAATACCTGGATACACTTTCGAAACAGTGTGTTCTTTTGTGTTTTTAGAATACCTGGACCCAGTTTTCAAAAGGTTATATTTTTTTAGTTTTTTTTTTCAGAATACCAGACAATGGACAAAGTCCAAACCCCCAGTAAACCTGAGTGCTAGGATCGTGGGTTTGAATCCAGTCTAGACCTTCGATGTGTGGCTGCACATTTCTCTTTTTGTCTTTCCATCACAAGGATCTTTCAAGAAGTCCTGCATTTGAATTTCGAATTAGACACCCACAATTCCTGACTCACTTTTTTTCTTCGTTATTCTCCAGTTGAATCCGCATACTTCTGAAAATAGTATGCTACGGCTCTATTTTCTTTCGTGTTAAGCCTGTTGCCACATTTTTAGTTTCTTTTTGGGTGGTCTTCAATAAGATAATGACGCCTGACCCAATAAGACCGTACTAAACAAACATTACAATGAGGAAGTCTGGAATGGTGCGCAGCTGCAGGGTCTGCTACATCTCACCCACAGAGGGGAACTGGTACGTTATGGCCTCGTTTCTTAACCATTATATGGGGCAGCCTGAGGCGTCTGAGGTCACAGCTGATGATGATGCAATTTCTCTGAAGAGGGTAGACACATCAAGATAACTTTGTGTTTGTAGATTTCGGGCTTATTTTCTGCGCATGCGTTACCGGAATGATAATTGTTCCTAGGCTATTTAACGCCGTTATTTCAACTGGAGCCGGTCACCGTAGCCGAGCGGTCTAAGGCATGTACTGTGGAAGCAGAGATCGTGTGTTCGAATCCCACACAAGGCATGGATGTTCGGTATGTGTTTATTCTGTGTTTATGTAAAGACCTTGCGACTAGCTGATCACCCGTCCAAGGAATCCTACAGTCTGTAAAATGATCAAAATGAAAAAAAAAAACCTCGACACCGTAGGGTATAAGAGGAACGGATTAAGTAGGTAATTAATTGAGTAAAATTTCAAATGCAGGGGTCACATGGCAGCCTGTGATTCATGAGCTAAATGCCGGTATTTCGGATATTTCGGGACCTAGCTGAAAAAAAATATTTGGCGGTTCATAATAATTATAAGTTCTCAACTTCACAGAAGCATTTGCTTCCCTTAGTTCACTACAAGTTAAGGCAAATTAACGGGGGAACACAGACATACACAAAAGACAATAACCAGATATATGTAGAGAAATTACTTTGGCGATATTACGCTGTTCAATCCGTTAGATTGTAACCAGCTCTTCGGAGGAATATATTGCTTCCATCTTCAAGAAATCTATCCATTAAGTCTAACGCCTTCTTCTTCTATTTACCGTATTTACGCATGTATAGGCCGCGTGCGTGTATAGGCCGCAGCACAATTTTCAGACAGAAATTACAGAAAAAATAATTTTCTTGGAATATTATTTCAGGAGAAGAACACCCTGTATTACTAATTATGAATATATATTTTTTTAAATGAAGTGTGATTTCGAATATTTCGAATATAAGCCGCACCCCAGTTTTCCTCTTGAATTTTTGGCAAAAAATGTGCGGCCTATACATGCGTAAATACGGTATATCTTAACAGAATGGACTCTGTGACCTGTTTCCTTTAAGAATTAATTCTGAAATTATGACTCTTATACATATGGAGTGAGGGTCAGCCCGTCACAAGGCCGCTACCTACACAGGACAACATGAACAGAGACAAACTGCTGACAGCCATCCACGCCTCGAGTGGGACTCAAACACACAACCGCAGTGTTTCAGCGGGAGAAGACATTTCGTGCCTTCGGCCGCATGACCACTGTGATCGGTAAATGTAACTCCATAGAATAGATATCTCTATGAGAAGCTGATAGTCGCCCAGCTACTCAGGAAATTCAGCCCCCTTTGCATAGCCTGTACAGAAGTGCAAGCCCGGGCCCCAGTCCCTTCCTTGGCATCACATTACTTCAACGTACATTTTAATCATACTCGCATTTGTGCTTTCCTTCAGGTCTTCAGACAAAAATTTTGTATGCATTTCCCATTTCTCTTATTCCTGCTATACGCTCAACCATATACAGATCAAGTTATCTTATGCGATGACAATTCTGGTTTGTATTCTTGTGGTTCTCGGTTACAATTTTGGCTAGGAGTTTCCTGTTCTTTTTCAGTCCGTCCAGACAAATGACGCAACAGGATCTTGAATCAGGCCACGGCCCCTTCCCTCCACATCATTTCCAGTCCACTAACAGTGTTATCATAAAAGTGAAAAGGTAAAGCTATCCCTGCAACAGGCCGTGAAGGCCCATAGGGTTGTGAGACGTCGAGGCTCCCACAATCGGCTCACAGATGGCGGTGAGGTTGTCAGCCTTACGCGCCGGCTGTCCTTTACCCCCAGGAAGATTGCTGCTACTCATTTCTGTTAGAGGCTCGATCGACTCCAGGGCCATAGTGCGGCTGGAAGGATTAGATAAACTGAAAAATCCAATAACCTCATCGGGAACCGTACCCGCGACCTTCCGGCTTGTAGCACAGTGCGCTACTGCAAAGGAGAGACAGGAATACGAAGACTGTAATAACTGGGCACAGTTCCTGAAGAAGCCTGCAGGAGGCAATAAGAGGAATTTAAGACACTACATTTCCTTGGATATATATGCAGTCCTGTCTATTGAGGTCTGTGTTGCGTCACATCCGAAAACACAGCACGGCCTTCATGACGGTTGCTATTCAGCCTACATTCTTGTTTCTCAACCCAGTGTTTCAGGATGATTACAGGGTTACGAATTAAGGTCACAGGCACATCCTTCCAATCACTGTCAGATGCTGAAGCACCGCGCCTTCTAAAAATGTTTATACGAAATTCCCATTCTTGTTTACTGTTGTAATGAACGGCCGAGAAAGATAATCCCAGTTTCATAAATCTGCACTAACTCACCGCCATTTGTAAGCCGATTGTCTAACGGCTTCACGCGTTGGCCGCTTTAGCCCCCAGGTACCCATTGGATAATAAGCTCGGTTGATCCAGAGCCGGTCAGGACGTTTTGGTTTTTTTTAGTCCCAAAGCGAACTATACCGACCGAGCAACCGTCGCTTGCCAAATTTAGCTGATAGAGGGTGTCACGTGGTCAGCGCAACGAATCCCCGCGGCCCTTAATTTCGATTTTCTACACCGGAGCCGCTATTTCCTTGAAATAGCTTCTCATTTATCCTCAAAAGGCTGAGCGGACCCTGTTCCAGACCCACTACTTCTCAGAAAATCTGGTAGCTCCGGGAATCGAACCAGGACCTCTGGACCTGTAGCCAGGAACTCTGATCACTAGACCACAGAGCCGATCTGGACATGCAGAGGAGAGAAAATCTTTCATTTGCAGGGATTCGAAACCCAGTTATCCAGGTTCTACTGTTATATCTGACAAACACAGATGAATATTGAACTCGATGCGCAAATTTTAGTGAAGACCGTGTGTGCCAAATTTCATGGAAATCCGTGAGGTAGTTCGGGGGCCTCAACTTGAAGCTAGATATAACTTCTTCATTATGCTTACATTATATGCAACACATGCAAATAAACACACACTCAATCTCATTGCTCCTACACTCAGAGAGTATATTCGCAGACGTTTCTTTGAAGCCAGTGACTAGTCAAGTCAGTAGGCGTACTTTCAGGAACCTTTCATTAGTCAGCGGATCCCAACACCGTGTAGGTTTTTCACATGGACGTACAGGAGACAGACATGGCTGCAGTATGAAATGCGCTAGAGATGTGGAATAGTGGTTTTTCAGCCCTTTATTCACATAACATACGTAGACATAAGCGATTATATATATTTGGACTGTAACACCGTGTAGACTGTAGAAATCTCAACGTTTCGGAGGAACACATGAACCCCATCTTCAAGGTAGAAACATAAGCCAAGAAAAGAATCAGTATTACACGACCTTACAACCCAGAAGACAATACTATTCTTATGCACCACCGTGATAACCTCCTATTCACGCTAGATGTCTTTACAATACCTCGGTCACGACAGGAGGACTTTAGAGGAGTGACCCATGTGCAGATTAATTAAGCACGCTTACAGTACATCTTTTCAAAAATAGATCTTCGATTAAACACAAAGCTTTCTTTATATAATTAAAACAAAATACAGTAATATAAAATTGTAAAAAACGGAAAGAGAAATTAATTAATATGTAATAATTTGCTTGAATGTATATATTTATGATCATGTAACTTACTATAATTTACGTCAGTAATTTCGCTAAGATTCACTTTAATAACATCCTCCCAAACAGTCTGTTCTTATCAAATAATGTAGCTCTGTATCACTTACATTTCTCATTGTTCAAATTTGCTAATTTCATGGCGTCCATCTTGAGTTCACGCCATAAACTTAATAGAATCAAGTAATATCGAATAAACACGTCCATACTCAATATCGAGTGCTGATTCCTTAAAAGTGCTGTGGCATATTTGCTCAAAGTAGAAACTGTGGAGCCAGACCTCAGGGCCAGTGCTTCTGGAAGGATTAGGTCAATTGAAAAATCTAATGACCATCTGGATATGTTGCTAGGGCAAGATCATGACCTGAAGATAGATCCTTTTAAAATATGGCACAGTTCAGATATTTGGGAACAACGATAACAGATCGAAACCTGATTCAGAAGGAAACTAAGAGGCGATTGAACTCGGGTAATGCTTGCCAGCATTCAGTCCAGAACCTTTTGTCTTCCCGTCTGCTGTCCAAAAACATAAAAATTAAAATATACGAAACTATAATTTTGTCTGTAGTTTTGTATGGGTGGGAAACTTGGTCTCTGACATAGACACACATACACTGAGGGTGTTTGAGAACAGGGTGTTGAGGAGAATATTTGGACCGAAGAGAGATGAAGTGACAGGAGGTTGGAGAAAACTACATAATGAGGAGCATCGTAACTTGTACTATTCTCCAACTATAATTAGAATGATGAAGTCAAGGAGGACGAGGTGGGTAGGGCATGTAGCACGAATGGGGAGAAGAGGAATGCGTATAGGATATTGGTGGGAAAGTCAGAAGGAAGGAGACCACTGGGGAGACCAAGGCGTAGGTGGGTGGACAATATTAAAATGGATCTTAGAGAGATAGAATGGGATGACATGGATTGGATAGATCTGGCTCAGGATATGGACCAGTGGAGGGCTCTTGTGAACACGGTAATGAACCTTCGGATTCCATAAAATGCTGGGAAATTTTTTAGTAGCTGCAGAAATGGCGGCTCCTCCAGAAGGGCTCAGCTCCGTGAGTAAGTAAGTAATGACATCATCTGGAAGTGAACCCCCGACTTTCTGGCTTGTAGCACTGCGTGTCCCTATATTATGTGGAGTTGCCTGTGTAACTCTGAGAGCTCCTGTCTTGCTCATGTCCCCCTTTATAGCGCAGCCAGCACAGGAGGAATGCGTTCTCAACGAACCAACCGTGTTGCAACTTGGTGTATCTACGCAAGCTAACCATTTAACTGTGTCAAGGTCATAGTGACACCATACGCACTGACGGAGATCCGATCATACCGGGGTTTTATTCCTTTGAAGCCTGAAATTTATGTAAATGTGAGTAATATTCATAAATTCGGTTTCTGCCTCAGAGAAAGAATGCACTTCCAACCAACTGTTCACGGAAATAACAACCCTTTAGAAGTGTTCTGTCTTCTGGGATATACTG